TTTTTTTTAACCACTCCCTGTAGTGCTGGAGGTGCTGGTAAGAGCAGACACTGCTAGCACCTTGAGTAGAGGCTCCATCTATTGGTGGGGAGCATCACCTGCTGGAAACCGGGTCCAGCGTACCTTAAATACATCATTTTCTGTCCCAAAACGTGTCCCTGCCAGCATTGATTACCCTGGATTGCAGGGGATTGACGGAGCAGGGCAGGAGGCAGGCCGGGGAGCCGTTGCCACCTTGGGGCCCGGGGGGCACCGGGTCCTTGGCGCCTGCAGCTATCCCGCCCTCCCCCCTGACTGAAGCTGAAATAAAAAACCACAAATCTGTTTGAAAACCAATTGAAAACAGTTGACGTCCCTGCTTCCTATTTTTCAGACCTTTATTTTTCTTTTCTTTTTTTTAAGACTTTTCTCATTGTGGATTGGTTGATTTTCTGCTGCATTGTCGACCTGAACCTGACCAAAATGGTATTTCGTTGCGTTGGATTCTCTTGTATTTTGTTGCGTTTGACTCTCTTGAACGTGGGGTATTAAAGACCCTTGACATATGGCGGGGGGGTGGGTGTGTATGGAGGGCCTGTGGGGCGGGGGGGGGGGGGGGGGGGGGGGGGGAAGGGTTAGTTGGCCTTTTTCTGTTTCTTTTTCTGTTCCCCTCAATGACATCCAATTTGCAGATCGGTAGATGTGGTAATCTCCAACTGTGTCATCAACTTGGCCCCAGACAAAGCGCCTGTTTTTTCAGAAGTTGCGCGTATTCTCAAGCCGGGGGGAGAATTCTACTTCTCCGATTTGTTTGCCGATAGACGGATTCCGAAGCATCTGCGACAGGACAAAGTCTTATGCGGTGAGGGATTAGCAGGAGCGCTGTACGTGAAGGACTTCAGCCGATTGATGAGTAAAGTCGGACTTGGGGCATGGGGAATTGCAAAACATGCTATCATCACCGTAAACAGTGAGAAGATTTCGAAACTAGTAGGAGACACCACTTTCTACAGCCTCACAGTGCGTGCCATCAAGGTAGACCCAAGCAAACTGGGAGACGCTCTCGAGGACTTTGGACAGGTAAAGAAGTACCTCCACCTCAACCCATACTATACCCCTGCCTCCCCTCCCCTTCTCTCGAAATAAAGCAGTGATGGTCTGTTTTTTTTTTTTTTTTTTTTTTTTTTTTTTTTTTTTTAAACCCGGGCCCGGTGCCCAAGGCTGATATTATCAACAAGAAGCTTGAGGCCGGGGTCCTCACAGTCTACCCGGAGTGACCGAACCGATCATGCTGAAAACCGGGCTCAGCGTCCCTCATATGATGATGATGATGATGATGATGATTAGTATAAAACCACATAGGAGACTATGCTATATCGGCAATTCTGGCCTCCTTTTAAGATCACTGAACACCTCCTGAAATCCACCACAGTTTTCCGAACACTCAAGTATCTAAGGGATTTCCAACAGATCATACCTTTTTTTTTTTTTTTTTTTTTTTTTTTTTTTTTTTAAAACACCCAAGGATTTGCTAGGGTGCTGGTAAGAGCAGACACCCCTACCATACCCGGGAGGCTCCGTCTATTGGTGGGGAGCTGCACCTGCTGGAAACCGGGTCCAGCGTCCCTGAACATGATTTTTTCAGTGACTGCCTGCCAGCATTGATTACCCTGAAATACCAATACTCACTAAAACCGACTTATTCTCTGACAAACTCATCTAGGCCTCATGCCCCCTTTCTGCTAGGTTACAGAGCGGCGCGACTCACTCCAGCTCCGGCCAGTGTTGTCCTATGTCAGCAACCCCCAACTGTCCTTTAGGATGCCCCCGCATAGCATCCCCAGATCTCTCTACAAGGCCTCATGCCCCCACCTTCAGCAAGTTACAGGGCATCACCCCGGCTCCGGCCAAAGTCGTTCTGGCGTTGAACAGCTACGGATCCTGAATATAACAGTCTGATTCCAGTGTAGATTCGTACAAACCGCCAGCAAACCCTCAGAGTCCCGAGAGATTTTTCAAACTACCAGGAATAACAAGGGTGCTGTTTTGAAAATTCAGAAAAATCAAGAAGTATAGAACTACCCCCCTGTCCCCCTCGTCCCCCTGCCCCACCGCTGCCTCCGCCAAAAAGGACCGCCCCTGATCACGGGCACTCCTCATTGGCCCCAAGTTCACGGGCACTCCTCATCGGCCCCAACTTGGGACAGACCCGTTTCCCCCCTACTCCCACAAAGGCATCCAGTTCCCACCCAAAGAATGCCTCTGCCAACCCCTTGCCCTAGTCTGCCTCCGCTGTGGTATGATGCCGACCCATACATCTCCCCCAGCCCCAGAATAGAGCATCCCCCAAAATCTGCCCCATCTCTCTTCAGGGCAATCACCTCCCTCCTTGTGAAGCCCTTGTAGAGTAGAGCTCTCCCCCTCAGATCCAGCCCACCACCCCACCAGAAACAATTTGTTTATGTTGAAGAGGAGTATCCAAATTCTGGACGTTTCTGTAGATTATTTCCCCCCCTTTCCTCCATCTCCCCCTGTCCCTCCTCTGCCTCCACCGAAAAGGACTGCCCTGATCACAAGCTTCCTTTATCGGCCGCCAACTTGGGACATACCTGCTTCCCCCCCCATCTTCCACTAAGACATCAAGTGTGCCTCATCCAGTCCCTTACCCCAAACTGCCTCCGCTGGGATATGATGTCACCCCATACATCTCTCCCAGCCCCAGAATAGGGCATCCCCCAAAATCTGGCTCCACTCCCTCCAGGGCATTCACCGCCCGCCTTGTGAAGCCCCTGCAGAGTAGAGCTCTCCTCCTTAAAACCCCAACCCCCCACCCGCTCAAAAATAATTCATTAGTGTGCCCAAAGGGGAATTAGAAATTAGAAATTAATAGTGGAGAAAGGAAAATTTAAAACAATTCCAGTCAAAAATTCCGAAAATCGTGATGGGAACAGCACCCTGAAGATGATGATGATTAGGATGATGATGGTGATGATGGTAATGATGAGGATAAAGACAGACTGATGATGCTGCTCATACTAAGAGCAGCACCGACCCTATGATTACAAGCTATTTATGATGATTGATGCTGCTGCTGCTGCTGCTGATGATGATGATACTGACGCACAACACCCTGTAATGACTACAGGATGATGATGGTGGTGATGGCGAGCATCACTAGTGATGATGATTTGATGATACGATGATGATGGTGGTGATGGCGAGCATCACTGATGATGATGATTTGATGATGATGATGATGATGATGATGATGATGATGCACCGCGCCCTATGATTGGCAAAAGGATGGTGATGGTATTGATGACGAGCACCTTTGATGATAACCTGATGAGAATGATGATGATGATGATGATGATGATGATGGTGCTGCTGCTGCTGCTGCTGCTGCTGCTGCTGCTGATGATGATGATGATGATGATAACGCAAATGATGGTGTTGGTGACGAGCACTTTTGATGATAGTACCCTGATGATGATGATGGTGGAGTGACAAACGGCACCCTGATGATGATGACGAAACATTACCGTGATGACGATGTCGATGATGATGTTGATGATGCTGCTGATGATGCTGATGACGAGCAACACCATGATGATGATGATGCTAGCAAACCTTGATGATGAAACCTCGATGGTGATGATGACCATCGCGATCTGATAGTAATAGTGAGAGCACGGATGATGGCGAGCAGTACCCCAATGGCCGACCGTTACCGTAATCACTCACACTTCAGGGTACCTAGGGCTAACTCCACTGTACTCCACAGACATCGTCAAAGCCAACGCCTCTCAGGCCGTAAGCCACGTGCGGCAACACAGCGGCAATGGAGTGAAACGTGGAACTCCCAGAAACTGAACGACCACCTGCCACCTCAACTTGTGAGATGGTGTGGTCAAGCGCCTGCGGTCTCCTGCGCGTGCGCTAAGCACCGGGACTTCAAAAAGGCCGCCATCGCCGCCGCGCGCCATCTCCAGGACCACGTAGCGTCGGGCGGGGTGCAACGCTCCTGGTAGCGCTGCGCCCCGCCTCCCCCCGTGCCCGGGCGGTCCGTTTGTCTTCTTCTGTTCCCTCTCTCTTCCTTTTTTCTTTTTCCCTTCCATTTTGTCTTCCTCTTCTCTAGTTTCTTCTTCTTCTTCTTCTTCTTCTTCTTCTTCTTCTTCTTCTTCTTCTACTACTTCTTCTTCTTCTTCTTCTTCTTCTTCTTCTTCTTCTTCTTCTTCATTGTCATCGTCTGCTGCTGCTGATATTGCACTGTGACGGCCAACCTCACGCCCAGCGCGACTTCCTGATCGAAGTGGGATGGGGGCCCGGAAGTGCGAAAAGGCGTGTGCCAAGGATTTTTGGAAAGTGGGGGTGGAGTCCCAGGTCGGAACTGAGATCTCCTGTGGCAAGTTTCGGGGGTAAAAGTGCAAGAGGGTATGTGCAGGTCGTACTTGGGTTTGATAGGCCACGTCTCGGACAGTCGCAGATGTCGTGGAGCATAAGGCAGATGGCATGTGTAGTGCATCTTAGACTAAAGGTTCTGGGGTACTTTTCCGCAATCACAACACCGTCGGATCTAAACACTCTTGCATTCTCGAACAAAATCCCAACAACACTGTCCCTGCCAACGAACTCAATCGTATCCCTCAAAATATTTTTGTAAGTCTCAGGCCCCAGAAACGGGAATCACCATCTCTTTTGATTTCGCCTTCGTGGTTTGTCGCGGGCCTGATGGACAGGGTGGATGCTGTGGGTGTCGCGCTGTCTGATCAGCTGCTCTCGTCGATCACTACAGATTTCAGAATCGGACGACGAAGGTCTCAATCGGAGGCTGTGCGTTCCTCGTTCGGCCTTCGTTTGGGTTTGGTGAACGAATCCCGAGGTTCGATACTCGCTGTCCCGCTGGCACTCGGAGCAGGGGGTTCGGGGCCAGTAGGGAGCGATTGTGTGCCACGGGATAACTGTGAGGTAGTGGAAGGGCAACACCACTCGGTAAGGTGGGCAGCGGGTTATTAGGACGACCACCCCGGGTTCGGAGAAGACATGGCTCGTGTGGGACTCAGGGAACTGGGTTGCGTTAGGGACGGCGTCTAGTGCTTTTCCTATATCCCAGTCGCAAACCCGTTCGTTTCCTTGCTGGTAGCCTGGTAGGGGAATCTCAGAGGATCGGGTCGGGGCTGTGCAAGGAAGTATGCGTTCTTTCGTTCCCAATACCTCCGAAATTCGGGGTCCCGCAGAATTTCCCGATCAGTAACACGAAACATCATGTCAGCCCGATGCAAGGGCCGTCATGACCCGTACGTGGATCTTGCAGACATGCATGTAGGCGCCGTCCCTTTCGGTGGGGCTTACACTTGCGTGCACAAAATCACGCTTCATGGCTGTACGAGGGGCTGACTCGATCAGAAAGATATGGTAAGGGTTAGCTTAATTCAAATTTCATCACTTTCTAGTACCCATCGTCATTGTCTTCCCCTGTTCTACGTGTAGGCTACACCTGTGCGCAACTTTACTGTCCATCTCCCGAGCAATAGACCACTCAACTCATCCCATCAATCACAACAGTTACAGCCACGATTTGCTCATATGTACACGCCGGCAGGTCCGTGGAAACGACTCGCAGTTTCGGTCTCCTGTTCAACATGGGGTTGTCGATGCAATCATAAAAACAACGAAATTTCCATCGAGCTTGTTCATGCTCGTTAAGGAATCGACAAGTGTGCACATGTTACATCAAAACAGAGGAACGACATGCAATTGGAGTAGAATCTGACGAACTTGCAAAAATCAAGGACGACCATCGTATTGAAAACAGGGAATGAGGGGGAACAACCAGATCATTCATCAAACTGTCGTAAACGCGTCGATACAGAAAGTGGGAGGAGAGATACCATTATCAACAGGAATTCCGAGACGAATCGCAAAAAGATCCGAAGTTACTGCAACAAAATTGGCCAGTATTGGAACAAAATTCACACAGAAGCCAAGAAGAAAGACATCATCCCAACCCGTTCTCTCTCTCTCTCTTTCTCTCTCACTCCACCTCCGATGCAGGCAGTCCGTCGCCACGCACCAACACT